TCCCTATTGCTAGTGTGGATGTGCCCTCAGGTAAGTGTTCAAACATTTATTGTTGTTATGAAATGATCAATATTCAATAAACCATGATTCCCACAGACTAATCTTAACTAAAATGTGATTGTTTTATTGTTAAATATATATTATGTATCATAGACCTGCCCTGCGGAATATCCATGTATTCTTCAAAAAATAGTTCCAAAACAACTACATATTTTCTACGTTTACAATGGGATTATACCTTTTTTCACGGGCTGTTCTGTTTTAATAAACTGTAGTGCCAGCATAGTTCAAAAGTCATAAGCAGCTAGAAGCTCTAAGCTATTGAACCGTTTTAAAAATCATCAAATGAGACCCCGTTACCTTTAGTCCCAAATGCATAGGCATTTGACATTTGCGCTTGGGGGGGCAAACCTTTTTTACTTACGTCAGTACACAGTCCCAACTATCGCGTGGGATGCTACATACGGATACAGTAGCAATAAAGCCAGCGCTCACCGCACTGAGTATGACTTTTCCATGCCCGCCGTACACACACACTCATATGGAAGGGGCGGTGTCTCCCCCCAACAACAGTGCATTACATAACTGTGCACATCTTATACTTATTTGATAACTACTATATATCCCTTGGTTACTTGAACACTCTACAATATTATTAACCAGTGTCCTACCTTATTAAAATATTGATATATGAAATATTTGTATTGGAACAGTTTTCGACGTAGTAATGCTGTAATATATTTCAGCCACTAGAGGGGGCAATGCCCCCCCTGCCCCCCCGCAAAATCCGCCTATGCCCAAATGTTGAGAAATATTGAACCGTTTTTAACAAAAAATGATTGAAAAAGTAGCTATATTTCAGTTAATCGTGCAACACTTACTCAAACTAGATATTAGGCAGGAGTCTCAGAAACACGACTTGATAAATGAGTCTACAGGCAGCTCCCCAGGAGCCTTGGCTTCGAAAGCAGGAGTTTCCATGTCTGGAGGCACACGTGGAGGATAAATCTAACACTACAGCCGGCCTAGTGTGAGCTCATCATACCCCAAATACACTACCTGCTGAGTGTGAGAACAGCAGGCAGACAATTATTACAATCCTTGTCTCCTTAAATTCCTCTCCACCGCTGTGTTGTCTTCCTCAGGTTGGGACGCAGAGGAACCGAGTCAAGATGGGATTAACCCAGAAGTTCTCATCTCACTCACAGCGCCCAAGAAGTGCGCCATGAGTTTCTCCGGGAAGCATTTTTTGGCCGGACGCTTCTTGCCCTATGACATCCAGAAAAAATACGACCTTAACCTCCCGGACTACCCTGGCACAGACTGTATCATAGAATTGTAACACATGGGAAAAATAAGAGCCAGTGTCCACTCCTCATTTTCAAAAATGTTAGGTTGATCTATTCTCTTGTTTTGTACTTTATGGATTGTTAATGTGATTTAATGTTAACAGTTGGGTAGATCACGCTACACCTTAGCTAAATGTTGAGCTGCAGTAGAAGGATCATTTTTAGAAGCTGTGGTTTGAGTCAAGTCCTTTCAGGGAATGGCATGAGGAGTATTTGTGTCAGTCTACTGGTGAAAGCTGTAGCATTACACTGTTTTTCTGATTAATTTGCAAAATATGTTCACTTCTTTAGTTCACAGTCAGCAAAGAAATATGAATTGTCTATGATGCCAGCCACTGGGACGTTTGTTTCTTTAACACTTTTTTAACGTTCTTCTCATGTTGAACTTTTTACTGAATTGTGCTAACGAGATAAGATGTTGTGCAGATTGGCCATTTTGAACTTTCTGTTGATGTGTTTCTGGTTTGTTTGGTCAGCCTGCACTTCTGAGTTACTTTTTTCTCTGTTATTTCATCAGCTGTAAAAGGCCCAGACCGTTCTTGTTGTCCAATAAAAACAAAAGAAAACCCTTCAAGGATTCAATTTATTTTGTTTGGTTTTCCTTCACATACAACTGCACTGATCAGTGTATTTCATATTAACAATGACTCACATGAATATAACAATGACTGCATGAGAATCAGAGACTAACTTTGAGACATTTTGAGTGATTGATTTGGTTTTTGGTGCCAGTAACTCTGTTCTTATCGACCATGTGTGCAGCTCCCACATGCAGTTTTTTTATATATACCTGATAAATTGTAATCTACTAGACAGCAACGTTAGCAATTAGCTGGTGGACAGGGGGTAGCATTTAGTAGCTAATACCAAATTGGTGGAGAACAAAACAGAGCCAAATGGAGTTGGACTTACATTTATGAAGTACGAAAAAAACAGGACTCTAAATAGATGTTTCTCTATTTCTGCTGGATGTGTAAATAGGCAACTATTTACTGACATGTTAACAAACACTTTTATTAGGTGATGATTCTGTTTTCAGCTTGTTCCACTGCCCCCCTTAGGCCAAAGACCCAAATTAGGGTAGATTTAGACAAATTAAGAGAGGCTTTTAATTGTCTATGAAAGAGTCTCATTGTAACACTGATGCATGACCTATTAAGTAAAAGAGACCATTAGCAAGAACATTGGCTATTTAGTTGGATAGTTCTAGGAATAGTATAACCATAAATGAGCAGAGCAGACTGTCAGAACCACCTGCAATGAAAAGATAGCCACCAAAGGGACTCTGGTAATTATAAACATTAATGCTTTTGTCCACAGGAGTCGCCAAATTCAACATAAAATGAAAACTCTCGAAGTAAGCAACAAAGCTACACATAACCATTCCTCTTAAATTCCCTTTAGCTGATTGCAGGCCTTTTAAGGTAAGGTTATGATAAATATCATTATTTTACGTGTTTGTATAATCCTCCAGGGGATTAAAAGTCGTGGTAGTGGTATTATTCTTGGGTTTCTCGCACAAGGACACTTCAGCCGAGAAGCTTACAAAATCTTATGAACATCAAAAACATTTAGTGTTGTGCTTCTTTAGGGAGCACATGCTGTAACTGCTGTTTATTGGTTTCCAACTGGATTTGATTTGGTAATGAAAGCCATAAGCAAGTGTGATCAGGCTATAATCAGCTGTGGAGGAAGGCCTCTTGTATTTGAGCTCATGGGCCGTGGGCTTCAATGAGGATGACTCAGCCGGACTGCTGGGCTGTTTATGGATGAGGTAATGTGTATTTAAACAAATGTAAGAGGCTTCTTCTGAATACTAATGCCCAGTGTATGTGCACATGTGTGAGTGGGTGTAGAAAGTCAGTAAAAAGGAATGTCAATCTGATGGTGCTCTGTGGTATTAAATCTGTCAAAATGAAACTGACGAGAGCTTCAGAAATATGTCTGAGTGTTCACCGGACTTGTCTTTCATGCCTGTCCAATCAGGAAACAACGACTTGTCACCACTCTGTCGTCCGTGTTTTTCATGAGAGCCGCTGAGTAATGAGCTTTGGTGTCGTCGGTGGCCCGTATAATTGAACTATCATAACGGACAGCAGCACTTGTTGCAATATCCAGTCAGCGATAAAGAGTCTAACAAGGAGAATAAATGCAGTCAAACTATTTAAAGGAGTGAGGAAGTAAGTTTGATTCAGTGCCGGGCGTTATATAACACAGAAAAGGTCAAATTTGAACAATGGGCTCTAATGGGTTTGAGTTAACAAACACTGCATGTTTTTTATTTGAAAAATATTTTTGTTAAACTAAAGCTGACATGTTTACGTAGAGAACTTTTTGAAAAACTATTTGGAAAACTATTACAATAAAAACATTTTTTTAAGAAATATCAAAAACAATCTTTAATACTTTATTAATATTATTTTTTATAATTAAATTGGTAACGTTTTAGGGTTTGAACACTAATATCCTGATCTTATTTATTTGTTTGTCTAACCTTAATTAAGATGGAGAAATTATTGTGACGTAAATATCTACACAACATCTTTCTTTGGAGGTGCCTTTATTTAAACAAAACATATTTTGAATGTTGTTGCTTTACTTTAGTTGAAAAGCTGAATAACACATTTAATTACTGTTTTTTTGTATAAGCCCCAAATGTCGCCATAATGTAAAGGAGCCTGAGTGCATTGCACCTTTGAGCCCCTCCTGTGTCTGCGCTCTGGGGAGTATTTCCTGAATGGCATGCCATACAGTATGACAACACTTCCACTCTTTGGCAGAGCATCGCAGCGCAATCAGTGACTGTTAAAGAGTTACAAAACTGAACCATAAGTCGAACCAGAGGCAGAGCAGCATCTGGTACTGTCCTGTGTCTGATAGAGAGACCGAGAGTGTGACGGAGAAAGAGAACAGGGGGGGGCAGTGAAAAACATGACATTTTATGAAAGACTATTAGAAAAACCTTGCCTTATGTGACACAGAATCAACTATGAAGTTGCCTTGAATAGCTTTCCTTAATGATTGGAACTTAATCATATCAATTATGATTCAAACCAATATCCTTTATACCCTGATGAAGAAACAGTTGTCATTTGTATATTAATACAGGATTTTGGACTTCAAATCAGTGCATTAGATGTTTTTCAGACTGCCAACCAATAAGAACAATTAAATAAAAACTAAGCTCGACAGTCAAAGATTTTTATTTTACTTGTTTCCTATATTTGTTATGTTCAAAAACTATTCAGGAAATGAATTAACTATAAAATAAAACATCCAAAACTCTGTATTTGCACAGATGCACTTACACACCTGCTCTGTGGATGAACACACTTACCCCGGAGCAAAAGAGTATTGTAAATAAAAAACACATGACAACATGAAAAATACATCAGAATTTATGTGCTCTTGCTTGGACAAATGGAAAACACCTTTTTATTATAGGTAACAGCATTCCCCAACACACAAACACATTCTCTATATGAGTGTGTGTCTCTCTCTCTACCCCAATCATGCCCTCATCTTATTTGGAAGATAATATGGGGGACCCAGATGTTACGTCTCACTGGCCAATGGTGAGCAGAGAGGGGCTGGATTGGTGTGCACTCCCGATGCCCCTTCTTTTTAAAAAGCCTGAGCTCCTGTCTCCAACTCAGCAACTCCCTTCACATGAGCAAGGAGCAGCAGCTCTGCTCCATCACTCACACCTGAAGCGGCTACATCAGCTTTAACTGAAGAATCAACACTTATTGTTATTAAATTAATGTCAAGTCTGTAGAGGATCAGAGAAAAATCAACTGTAACTGAAGGTGTGGTACCATGTTGGAATTAAACAAGGTGGCACTCCTGCTGTCTGTCATGGTTTCAGCTGCTCTGGGCCAAGGTAAGTGAAGATTATTAATTCAATTGTTATTATTGCTTTTTTCAAAAACAATGGATGCCAAAATTGCAGAAACAGCAAAAATACTGTAAATGTCAAATTATCAGGGATTTCATAAAAGAAAAAAGCCCTTTTATAGATGATTTTAGTTTTGAGTTAAGCTATTTTTCATCTCATCAAAAGAGGGCCAGTGCCTGTCTGAGTGCTCACACATGTGCACAACAACAGTAGAGTTGACTTAATTGACGGTATTTCCCTGAGGATGTCAGAGCGGGAGAACTCTGGTGGTGAGCTCATGTGATATTGATAAGGGTGTGTGTGTTTGGCTGTGTGTTATTTTGTAGACCACCTCTGTAGTTCCTAATCTCTTATGTTGTGTGTAACTAGCACATTTCACCGCCCGGCTAATCAAAAACACATGGTGATAGAAGAGGAGGTTAAGTGGAGGAGGTCCCTGTGGTTTAGTTTTATCTTATAAAATGTTCTGCTATTGGCAGTGAAAGTGCTACTGGTATTTGTCTTCAAAATGACCAACTGCGGCACAGTAGCTGCTTCTATCACCAGCAGAAACAGACTTTATGATCTCACATTAAAGTCAAACTAACTCTTACTATCTTCTCAGTTTATTTTTGTTTTACTGTGGTTACCCGTCAGCTAAATACAGACCAATTATGCTCTACCCCTTCCAGATAAAGTAAGTTAGTTTCCCCCCCCCAAATTACCCTCTTATCACCCTATGAAAGCTGGCCCCTCTTCCTGAATGACACCAGCAGCAGCACTGTTCCAAAGCTGTCTCTCTCTGTCCACATTACAGCTGCGCCCCATTTACTTTCTGCCTATTAACTTTTTTTTTAAGAAAGGGAGCTGGCAGTTCACAAAAGCAAACCCACCTTAATAGCTTCCATATCTTGTCAGTCCTCAGAGTCGTGATGTCTGAATGCCTTGCAGAGGCTTTGTGCTATCTCCCATGGAGTGTATAAAAGACAGTTTGGTTAGGAAAGAGGGTCAATGTAAAAATGGTGATTCTGATTGACTGTGAACTCAGTGTTACAGCTGCGAGTGAATGCCTGACCTTAAAATGGATTGTTACACTTTTCGCCCCGCTCCTTAAGCGGTACATCCACAGCTTGCAGTAAGGTGATGCATTTTGTCCTCACTTCACCTTTCAACACAGTGCCAGCAGTCCCTAAATATAAAGAAAGCCTTGGAAACAAGAAGCAATAATCACATACCAAGAGACCCACTCTCCCACCTGCTGGGTTTGTGGTTAGATACATGAGAAAATTGAATAAAAGGAGGGATAAAGAGTGGAGGTGAAATGACTTTACCATCCTTTCCCCTGTAATTTTGGCCTGTATGTCACTCTTTCCTTTTCCCTTTTTGACGGTCACAGCCCCCCTCGCCCTTCAGTCCACCACTGAAGAAATAATGCAGTGATGGAAATTAAATTGACTCAAGTACAGTTCTTAAGATCCATTTTTAAGTTCTGGTACAGTTCATGGTACTTTATTGAGTCTTCCACTCAACCACAGTTCTAAGGAAAATGTGTTACCTTTTTTTTTTTTACTACATTTATTTGATGGATTTGGCAATAATCAGCAAATAACTCCCAGCAGTAGATGAAAATGAATTTTACCAGCTGCAACACTGGAGTATAATTATGCATCAATAATTATAATATAATAATAATAAAGTACATTATTCGGAAGTGGGGGATTCTGCATAGTTTGTACTTTTATTCCTGGTACTCTAAATATATTTTTAATTAATGCTGTCAAAATTATCGCGCTAACGGCGGTAATTAATTTTTTGAATTAATTGCATTAAAAATATTTAACGCATTTAACGCATGTGCAGAATGGCCCGCCCCATACATCCGACCAGTGGCAGCGCCAGGGTATGGCTGGGGTAGGCTACACCCATACCAAGAAATGGCTTAGCCCCACCATGAAAAATGATGTTAAAGTAAGCAAAATAAAGTCCGCCAACTCGCGTCGAGAATTGCACAGACAGCAGTTAGTAAGATTGATTTCAGCAGCCACTTGTCTGGAAATACCGAAGACCAGAAATGGTTTTGAAAACGTTTGTCACGTAGTGATCGTCTTCTCAATAGAACATCTTTGATAATGTCTTCTGGCCAATCAGAATCAAGATAACGGCGTGGTGTTGTTGCAGGAAGTCCCGACGGAGAATACTTTTGCTGTAGTACAGGTAACACATAACTGGTACGCAGGCAGAGTTGGGTGTAACGCGTTACTTTGTAGCGCGTTACTGTAATATTATTACTTGTATCGGTAACGGAGTAGTGTAACGCGCTACTTTTATAATTCAGTAATCACACTACAGTTACTAACATTGCTCCGACACGCGTTACTTCGTTACTTACTAAAATAATTCATAATCAAACCTCAACAAACACCTGCAAAGAACACATGCCAAGGTGAAGCTAACGCACAGCTATTTGTTGTTTGTTGACATCTGTCACTACCCGATCCGTCCCCCTGCCCGATCGGTACTGCGCATGTGCGAGATGGTCCGGAAGTCCGGACGGCAACCCAAGATGGACACTTGACACAGTGGCTTTTGTGGCTCGAGAGAGATGAGTTATTGTTATTACAACGTGACTTCACTATTATTTAACAACTCTTTTGATTGGGTTCTTTTATTTGGGGTTAAGTACATTGTCAGAATAAGTGAGAAATGGATTTAACTTCTGTTAGACAGTAAATATTTATTCAGTATGATAGCTGTCTAACAGAAGTAAATCCATTTCTCACTTATTCTGACAATGTACTTAACCCCAAATAAAAGAACCCAATAAAAAGAGTTGTTAAATAATAGTGAAGTCACGTTGTAATAACAATAACTCATCTCTCTCGAGTTTTCTTTTTGAGCTTTGCTAAAAGCCACTGTGTCAAGTGTCCATCTTGGGTTGCCATCCGGAGTTGTCCAATATGGCGGACCATCTCGCACATGCGCAGTACCCATCGGGCAGGGTGACGGATCGGGTAGTGACAGTGACAATGGCCCAATCCCAAACCACTCCCTCGACCCTACCCCTCCGTGATGGAGTGAACTCCGTCTGTAGCCACACTCCCAGCTCAACGAGGCTCCCTCCTGTCAGATGGAGGGAGTAAATACAGCAGCATCAACTGCGTTGATATGATGAATTGGAAATGGGGGACCCTGATGTAAACAAGACGAAAGTCTTTCTCTGGTCTGCATCCCCTTAACAATTGTATGTTTTGAGCTGTACTGTACTGTACCCAATATACAAGCTGTTAATAAACTTTTCAATCAATCAATCAATCAATCAATCAGCAAGCTTTGGGACGGCCTCCCCTCTCTCCGGCAGAAACAGGAAATGCCGTAACTGTATGTAACAACGGTTTCAAATCAGCACAAAAAGTTTAAATGAATAACTCAAATAAAACTCCAAACATCTTTCATTGTGTTTCAAAGCTCTTTTAGTTTTAAACCTGATGTTTATAAGCTTCTTAGTTTTTGCAACGGTCTTTAAATATACACAACTTTATAATAAAATGCACACATTTACCTTTTTCTAGACTAAACACAGGTATGATCCTAAGTTAAAAACATATGAGGCTATCATGAGGTTGTTAACATCGCAATTTATCAGTGGATGTTTGCTGGAACTAGGCCTACTTGTAAACAGCGTGTTTCCTGACGGACACACACAGCGTGACTCCGGTCAGGTAGAGACCGGTCTCAAGTCAGCACCGCTGCAGACTCGCTGTTTGAGGGCTTGATAGCCCACTCCCTCTCCACACTCGTTGCTTTGGAACATCCCTCAATATGGCGGACCCTCCGCGTGAACGCGCAAACGGAGGGGTAAGGTGTAGGGGGCGGTTTGGGAATGGGCCAATATCTAGTAGTCTGTTCTTCTTCTCTGTTTTCCGGTTGTTGCCTGTTTTGAATGACGAATACACACTACCGCCGCCTGCTGGTAAGGAGAGTTATTGCCACTCACGCATGCGCAGTTCGTACGTGCTCGGCTGAAGTCTTTGCGGTGTGCTCCAGTCTGGTTCCAGTGCAACACATGGCCAACACGCAGGAGAACACGCCGACGCAACAGCGTGAGCAGAGATAGACTGCGCAAAATATACAGATAGCAGGAGACAGAGGACAGCCATGGTCAGATAGGAAAACATTCAGGATCTGGATCAGTATTATGCGACAATGGAAACTGAACTAAAGAGAACATTTGAAACTTTAGCAGTCTGCGTGATCTGCCTGCAGGGAGGGCCGGCCCGGCCCTGCGAGTAAAGTAACGAGTGAAGTAACGAGTTACTTTATGTAGAGAGTAACGAAGTAGTGTAATATATTGCTTTTTTTTAAAAAAGTAATATGTAATATATTTTTTTAGTAACGACACCATCTCTGTAGTGTACGCAGGTTATGTGCGTAATCTGAAATGCGTACCGTCACTTGTGTCACAAAGCGCATTTGCGTACCGACGTACTTGTGAAGCTTTTCCAGAAGGCGGTTAGATCACCGGACGACAGAGTCGGTCTCCGTGTGCACAGACAGGGCTGCTGTTAACGTCGGTCTGTACAACGGAATTGTGCCAAAACTACACCAACATGCTGCGGAGGGAGACTCCCCCCCTTCACTGCAGAACTGCGCTAAAACAGCTGATCACAACGTTCACGCTCTGTGGTCACGAAGTACTCCACTAGCCCCCCCACCCGTCGACTTTCCTGAAGTACTCCCCCGTTGATAGAAACCAACACGTAATGAATTAAGACCCCACGGTTTGATGATTGATAGGTGCTCTCTTTCATTTTGACACACAGAAAAACGTTACAATAAACATGTTAAATGGATATATCCGCCTTCTTTCATTTATCTTTCCATTCCCACAACAATATACATAAAGAAATGGCATATTTTGGACATAGTTCGAATGGTGATTAATCATGATTAATTAATTTTTAAGCTGTGATTAATCTGATTACAATTTGTAATCGTTTGACAGCCCT